ATCTAACTTGCGCCAACTCATCTCCATATATTAAAAAAAGTTGTGCCCACATGTGCATTACTTTTGGTCCAGACCTTGTAATTTGAGTTGACATTGTCAGCAGTATGCTCTGTTGTTTACGTAAACATCTATACTCTGTATAACATTGGCCTGAGTTTACCAGTAGACTGCGTGCTTCCCATATGAAACCTATTACCTTGAGAGATGTATTCTATTAGTCCTCTCTGTAAACTTAAATTGTACATTTGAGATCCTTTAGCTTTGTTGTCCAAGTGGTCCTCAACGGTTTCGCTCAATTATGCCTCAATTTCCTCGCTACAGAAATCCTACTCTTATATATTAATGCTGAAAACTGAAGTACATTTAGTTAAGAGTCAGTGCAGGTGAATCAACTAAAAGGCATGGAAAATAAAGCAGATTTATGCCTGTTGACATTAGTTTACCCCCCTCCTCTTCCTGAGGGGTTACCATGCTCCTTCACAGTATCTTTTTTGCAAGTATGTCCAGGAAGATGGGCAACATAACGAGGAGGTGGATCCACTTCATTTCATTGCATAAATACTTGTCAAAGCAAACAGTGGGTAACAAATAGATGCAAAGTACATCTATTATCTTCCCAAGGCAGTAGAATCGACTTTCATCTTGATGGCAAACACTTGACCAAAACCATGTATCTGAAGAACTTAATACAGGCAAAAGCCATCAGTAATCTGGAATAATATAATAAGTTATAAATGCTTGGATGTTCTTTATATTACCCACTTCTGCTCCATCACCATATTTAATGTTATAAGTAATAGGCCTAATAATCCTAAATAACTTTGTTATCACCAATGATAGGGAAGTGAGGTATATATTATTTTCGGGACAAAAAGGGTTTTCTTTAGGTGCTATTGTCTTTAAAGATTTACTTAAACTTTTATATATTGTATTAGAAAAAAGAAGTTAAAAAAAAAAAAAAATGTTCTCAGCTTGACAAATTATCATTTTCAAATAACAATTTTAAAGTATAAAAAAAAATAATTCTAAGTGTTACTGTAGATATTAATTATGATGGAGAAGTGAAGTGTGTATTATTTTTTCGGATAAAAAAAGGGCTTTGTTTTGGGTGGTATTGTCTTCAAAGATTGATTTCAACTTCTATAGATTTTAAAGGCAAAAAAAAAAGAAAGAAAAATGTTTTCAGTTTGACAAGTGATTATTTTTAAACTAAGAAGTGTTACTAAAGGTATTAATTATGATGGAGAAGTGAGGTATGTATTATTTTTTTCTTTGGATGGTATTGTCTTCGAAGATTTATTTAAACCTCTATATATTATAAAGGAAAAAAGAAAAAAAAATTTTTACTTTCGGCAAGTGATCATTTTAAAATAAAAAGTGTTACTATAGATACAGTAGAAAGTGCAAATTTTATTCCATTAATTGTCCAGTTTATTTTTACACCAAAATAATGCTTCCAGAACAAAGCATGGTAAAGTTATTTCCAAACGGAATAAATGAAGATTTTCTTTTATATTACAAATGAAAAAAAACAGTAGACTATTTTTAAATAAAAGCAAAAAACTGTTAAGGAGATCTAATGAGGGCTAATTAAGTTTAAAAGGAGTCAAAATTTTAAATATATTAATTTCCACATTTTTATTTATTTTATTTTTAACCTTCTTCTACTTCGCACTGATGTGAATTCTGATATGATTCTGATCCGATGCAAATGACAAAAAACAAGTGTAGGACATTCCATTTACAGTGGGGCAAAAAAGAATTTAGTCAGCCACCAATTGTGCAAGTTCTCCCACTTAAAAAGATGAGAGAGGCCTGTAATTGGCATCATAGGTAGACCTTGGAAAGAATTTATTCGCAAATTATGGTGGAAAATAAGTATTTGGTCAATATCAAAAGTTCATCTCAATACTTTGTTATATATCCTTTGTTGGCAATGACAGAGGTCAAACGTTTCCTGTAAGTCTTCACAAGGTTGGCACACACTGTTGCTGGTATGTTGGCCCATTCCTCCATGCAGATCTCCTCTAGAGCAGTGATGTTTTGGGGCTGTCGCTGGGCAACACGGACTTTCAACTCCCTCCAAAGGTTTTCTATGGGGTTGAGATCTGGAGACTGGCTAGGCCGCTCCAGGACCTTGAAATGCTTCTTACGAAGCCACTCCTTCGTTGCCCGGGCGGTATGTTTGGGATCATTGTCATGTTGGAAGACCCAGCCACGTTTCACCTTCAATGCCCTTGCTGATGGAAGGAGGTTTGTACTCAAAATCTCACGATACATGGCCCCATTTATTCTGTCCTGTACATGGATCAGTCGTCCTGGTCCCTTTGCGGAGAAACAGCCCCAAAGCATGATGTTGCCACCCCCATGCTTCACAGTAGGTATGGTGTTCTTTGGATGCAACTCAGCATTCTCTCTCCTCCAAATACAACGAGTTGTGTTTTTGACAAACAGTTCTATTTTGGTTTCATCTGACCATATGACATTCTCCCAATCCTCTTCTGGATCATCCAAATGCTCTCTAGCAAACTTCAGACGGGCCCGGACATGTACTGGCTTAAGCAGGGGGACACGTCTGGCACTGCAGGATCTGAGTCCCTGGCGGCGTAGTGTGTTACTGATGGTAGCCTTTGTTATGTTGGTCCCAGCTCTCTGCAGGTCATTCACTAGGTCCCCCCATGTGGTCCTGGGATTTTTGCTCACCGTTCTTGTGATCATTTTGACCCCACGGGGTGAGATCTTGCGTGGAGCCCCAGATCGAGGGAGATTATCTGTGGTCTTGTATGTCTTCCATTTTCTAATTATTGCTCCCACAGTTGATTTGTTCACACCAAGCTGCTTGCCTATTGCAGATTCAGTCTTCCCAGCCTGGTGCAGGTCTACATATTTGTTTCTGGTGTCTTTCGACAGCTCTTTAGTCTTCACCATAGTGGAGTTTGGAGTGTGACTGTTTGAGGTTGTGGACAGGTGTCTTTTATACTGATAACAAGTTCAAACAGGTGCCACTGATACAGGTAATGAGTGCAGGACAGAGGAGCCTCTTAAAGAAGAAGGTACAGGTCTGTTAGAGCCAGAAATCTTGCTTGTTTGTAGGTGACCAAATACTTATTTTCCACCATAATTTGCAAATAAATTCTTTCCAAATCAGCCAATGTGATTGTATGGATTGTTTTTTTCTCATTTTGTCTCTCATAGTTGAGGTCTACCTATGATGCCAATTACAGGCTTCTCTCATCTTTTTAAGTGGGAGAACTTGCACAATTGGTGGATGACTAAATACACACTTTACAAGGAACCATGGAAAAACATGAAGGGATACAGTGGTACAAAGGAAGGTAGGACCTGAGTATGCACCAGATATGGAGCACTGCTCCCAGAAACCATATGGAGGTTCCATGTGAGGCAAGGAGAGAGAGACAAAAGTGAATAGAAAAGAGGGGGGGAAATTAGGGGAGACTGAGGGAAGGAATGCAGGAGAGACTGAAAGGATGTGTGACTTCCGGAAAGGGATAGACAATCTCGGGACCAGATCAATGTATGGTTTGGCATATAGGATTACCACAGAGCGAGATTAGGAGATGTCAAGGAAGGAATAACGAATCGCATGTGGGAGATATTTAAAGATGGTGACACAGAGGAGGAGCAGATGAAATTACCACCAGGTGAAGTTCCTCCTTAACGGAGATGCCAGAAGCTCCTGCGGCAAAGAGAAACTTCACCCTTACTATCAAAATTAACATTTTTAAATCTTGAAAATTATTAATGTAAAGTAAAAAAAAAACCCAAACCATACATACTAGTCAACAGAGACTACGGTTGTCTTGCTTTTAGAGAAAGTTCTCCTTACACTGCTCCTCTCCAGCACCACCATCTTAAATTCATTTCTACAGGACCTGGCAGATCCCTGTGGTGTATGCTGGACCCTTTGCGCATACACAGTCACACTGCTGACCCTGCCAGTAAACTGGTAGATATCCCCGTTTCTTCTGTGTATGAGCGAGATCCAGTGATCTTCCTCCTGGGATGAATGATGTAGAAATCCTAGGAGAAATGTTGCTGGACCATGGGCAGAAATGCCTCAACAAATCTTACAACATTCCTGTGCTGGGTCCAGGTACTTTGTTCTTCCCTAAAAAGATCTGAACTTTAGAAAAATGAAAATATTTACTTAAATTTTTTTTTTTTTTTTTTTTTGCAAGGAGAGGGGAAAGCAACATTTTAAAAAAGAGGACCTGCGAGGTCCACATACAATGTCCATGCTCCCTCCCCCCTTTTAAAGCAGAACTCCAGTTAAATTTTTTTTAGCATGCAGTGGGGCTGTACCCCCACTGCATGGATCAGGTGCTCGTTTTCTCTAGGGGTGAAGACTAAGCTCATACTCACCTGACCCGCCGTTCGTACAGAAAACTGCACTCCCCCACGGTCCAGCGGTGGACTGTTCCTGTCTATGGGGCACGCATTCAGCATGCTGGCATCAGGAACAGTCCATTTACAAGACCGCTGGACCATGGGGGGGGGCAGGAGCCAAAAGAACCGACCTTGCATGGGGAGGATCTGCAGGTCAAGTGAGTTTATCTTCGGTGTCCTCTCCCCCTAGAACAAAACAAGCATTTAACCCGTGCAGTGCTAGCACAGCCCCACTGCATGAGGCCAAAAAATTGTTTCCCTGATTTCTGGTTTAACCACTTGCCTACAGGGCACTTATAACCCCTTCCTGCCCAGGCCAATTTCCAGCTTTCAGCGCTGTTGCACTTTGAATGACAATTGCGCGATCATGCAACACTGTACCCATATGACATTTTTATCATTTTTTTTGTGACAGATAGAGCTTTATTTTGGTGGTATTTAATCACCTCTGGGTTTTTTATTTTTTCTTAAACAAACCAAAAACCACTGAAAATTAAAAAAAAAAAAAATTCTTAGTTTTTGTTATAAAGTTTTGTAAATAAGTGATTTTTCTCCTTCAATAATGTGTGCTAATAAGGCTGCAGTGATGGGCACTGATAGGCTGCACTGATAGACACTGATAGGTGGCACTGATGAGGAGGCACTGGTAGGTGGCACTGTTGGGCATTGACAGGCATCACTGATGGGCACTGAAAGGCAGCACTCATATATGGCACTAATAGGTGGCACTGATAGGTGGCACTGATAGGCGGCACTGACTGGCACTGATAGGCGGCACTGACTGGCACTGTTAGGCGGCACTGATAGGCAGCACTAACGGGCACTGATAGGCGGCACTGATTGACACTGATAGGCGGCACTAACTGGCACTGATAGGTGGCACTGACTGGCATTGATAGGTGGCAATGACTGGCACTGATGGGTGACACTGAAAGGCAGCTCAGATGGGCACTAATATGTGGCATTGATGAGGCACTGATGGACACTGATATGTGGCATTGATGAGGCACTGATGGGCACTGATATGTGGCGCTGATGTGGCACTGGCAGGTGGCATGGATGAGCACTGAGAGCTGGCACTGATGGACAATGACAGGTGGCGCTGCTGGGGCTACACAGATCATCAGTGCTCGGATTAGTGTACATGTCCCCCCCACCGAGGAATGCCGATTACCGGCTCTCCTCTCCTCACGAGCCATCAGCGTGACAGCTCTTGGGGAGAGAAATGCCAGTAACCGGCATTTCCCTGTTTACATATGATCAGCTGTGATTGGACACAGCTGATCACATGACTGAGCCGACATCTTCGGCTCTTTCCGTGGATCGGTGATCCGCTGTCTCCGAGGGATACAGCGCACCACCGATCGCCGCGTTGCATGCTCTGGGAGCCATGCATGCGCGGTTAGAATGGGAGGACGTCATATGACGTCCTCCCAGAACGAGAGAACCACTTTGTGTCCGTCATATTACTATATGGCGGGAGGGAGGCGGTTAAAAGTCTTCTAATGTTAGTATTTCCAAAGTTAGAGCCATACTTACCTTACCCCCCCCATCTTCCAAATCAGTTGGCATGACATCAACATCCATCTGGAAAGAGCAAATGAAATCTTATGAAAAGTCCATTGCAAGAGTGCCTTCTAATGAGATTTTGACTGCTCGGTATTTGTTAGAATCTAACAAGAAGAAATGTGAATTTATCCTCGCCTAGGCGTCACAGGCGGAAAATGGAGGTAAGCTAAGTATAAACACATTTTTTTTTCTTTTACGGGTGCTACAAATGTTAGGTGGTTTTTTCAAGGGGGAAGGAGTCCTGACAGTATAAGTGGGCAGTGCAACATTTCATTCGTATAGAGCTAATACACATATTTTTTTTCATTTTATTTTAATGTTTCTATGTGTTTTTTTGTCTTGGGAGAAATTCCATAATTGCTGCCTTACTCACCTTAACCACTTGCCCACCGCACTGTAGTAGAAGTACTGCTACAGGGCGGCAGATCTGCGCAAAATCACATATATATACGTGATTTGCATTTCCGGGTAGAGCACTACCCATGCCACCATTGGCAACTAGAGATGTCAATCACGGGTACCAGCTGGCAATTCCCCGCGGGCACTCAGTAATTGTCAGGGAAATCTGACAGGGGAGAGACCTGTGTGTAAACAACACAGGTCTCTCTCCTGCCAGCAAGGACATGCTGCTTTGTATCTCTCTGCACAGTATGTCTTCCTAGTAAAACACACACAGCACACAGTTAACCCTTTGATCGCCCCAAATGTTAACCGCTTAATGTCCAGTGTCATTAGCACAGTGTCAGTGCTTTTTTATTAGCACTGATCACTGTATTAGTGTCAATGAGGATGTCAGTGGCAGTTAGTTCCCACCAGGGGCGGACTGACAACTCATGGGGCCCACGGGCAATAGGGGATCATGGGGCCCCTGTGTCCTTGCCCAAACTCAAAAAAGCCTATGAAAAAGGTACCAGGGGCATCTCATGGGGCCCCCTACTGACCCCGGGCCCTCGGGCGATGCCCGAGTTTCCAAATGGTCAGTCCGTCCCTGGTTCCCGCCCATTGTCAGAATGCCAGCCACAGAGTCGCAATCCCACTATAAGTTGCTGATCACCGCCATTAGTAGTATAAAAAAAATGTACAATTCCATTACATATACCACCATTTTTAGATGCTATAACTTTCACATAAACCAATTAATTTACAGGTATTGTGATTTTTTTTCGCAAACACGTCGTAAAATATATTTTGCCCTAAATTTATGATGAAATTTGATTTTTTTTATTTTTTTATTGGTTATGTTTGATAGCAAAAAATCAAAAATATTACTTTTTTTTTCAAAATTGTCAGTCTTTTCTCGTTTATAGCGCACAAAATTAAAAACGCAGACATGATCAAACACCACCAAAAGAAAGCTCTATTTGTGGGGAAAAAAATTACATACATTTAATTTATGTGTAGCGTTGCATGACCGCACAATTGTCAGTTAAAGTAACACAGTTCCGTATCACAAAAAAAAGGCCTTGTCAGGAAGGGGGGTAAATCTTCTGGAGGGCAAGGGTTAATTCCTTCGTATTGTTTTCTTGATCAATGTTCATATGCTCTATGGAACCTCAGACCTCAGGTTTAGGTCCCATAAGGAAGCCTGGAGTGGACTGGCTGTTCTTTCCTCTGGATCCCACAGGATGGGAATTCAGGGGAGATATTTGCTGCATGAACTAGAACAGATGAATGTTATCAGCCGACTCAGATCTCCCTTCCCTCAGCTCTGGGCTTCTATATCTTTTGAACTTTGGAACAAATCTTTATCTGGCCACAGATCCTTTTCTGTTCTGAAATCCATGACAAGCAGACCGCGCTTTAAATTATCTCTTGAACCGTTTTCTTTAACAATAGCACAAGGAAAGTGAATTTTACATTTGTTGTTATGCAATTTTCTTGATGCACCTGTAGCCTGATTTAAAACTCACTGGTATGCCTCACTGTCCAATCAGCCAGTATTTTAACTTGATGGGTCAGGAGTGCCAATAAAGTGCAGCGCTACAAAAATAATATCCAAGTGACAATTATATATGCGGTCATCAAATATAGGAATATTGAAGATGATAAACAGTTCAGTGATGGGGGACTCTCAGGGAGTATAGGTGCAATCCAATCCCAGGAATAGATAAATTGCCTGCTTACCAGAAGCGCAATATCAATACGCATGTACAGGTTATATGTAGCCGGGGTCCCATGTAGGCGCTGCTTTATAGTACCCAGATGGTCCGTCGGTGGTAAGACGATGCTGGCCTGGTCGGATCACACTGCTCCTTGGATCCACGCAGAGAACCTGAAAATGCTGGGGCTGAGGTATGGGAACTCAGTGCCAGATGTAAGGAGTAAAAATACTCATAGTGTAGTATGTTTAAAATTATTTATTAAATCCAATAACGTAAGCCATAAAAGTTACAAAACGCATGCCTGCAGCCTGTAGCCAGTATAAGCAGCTTGAAAAAAAGATTCTATACACTGACCAGTGAATAGTCTACGGTAGACGTGTATTGACACGAAACGCGTCTAGGAGGAGCCTTCGCACGCCTTGACGTTACGCCGCCGGGTCAGGAGGTCCGGCGGCCCACCTTTGGTATTCACTGGTCAGTGTATAGAATCTTTTTTTCAAGCTGCTTATACTGGCTACAGGCTGCAGGCATGCGTTTTGTAACTTTTATGGCTTACGTTATTGGATTTAATAAATAATTTTAAACATACTACACTATGAGTATTTTTACTCCTTACATCTGGCACTGAGTTCCCATACCTCAGCCCCAGCATTTTCAGGTTCTCTGCGTGGATCCAAGGAGCAGTGTGATCCGACCAGGCCAGCATCGTCTTACCACCGACGGACCATCTGGGTACTATAAAGCAGCGCCTACATGGGACCCCGGCTACATATAACCTGTACATGCGTATTGATATTGCGCTTCTGGTAAGCAGGCAATTTATCTATTCCTGGGATTGGATTGCACCTATACTCCCTGAGAGTCCCCCATCACTGAACTGTTTATCATCTTCAATATTCCTATATTTGATGACCGCATATATAATTGTCACTTGGATATTATTTTTGTAGCGCTGCACTTTATTGTTTCTATTCTGGTTGGAAGGGCTTGTAGTTCCTTTTGTGCATTTGCCGCTCACTGAAGTGCGCTCACTTTTCTTTATTTTATACGGTCAGGAGTGCCAAATCACTTAAAGGAGATCTACAGTATGGTCACAGAACACACTTTCATTTTTTAAAGTGTTACTAAACCCACAGCAGTACAATCAGTCTGTATATGCAGGAAAGCCTGCTGGTTATACTCACTGTGGAACCTAAGGGGTAATGCTTTGCATTGTGTTAAAAGGATGCTTGATCCTGTCTTCTCTGATCCTCCCCTTCTTCTACAGTCCCCAATCCATCTGCTGATAGAACAGAGCCTTTGGGGGCTAGCTGCACATACTCAGTTTGGTGTGTATTGGTAAAGAGTTTTTTTTTTCTTGGGAGAGTGCATGTGGTCAGCACAGGGCCAACCAGCTCTGTTCAGACAGCGGTCCTGTAGCCTCATAAGACAATCAGGGGAGAATGAAAACGTCTCCTACAAGCTTTAACCAGTGCTCTGCTGGACACTGATAGAAGTCACAAGACTGCTCTAACTGCCGATGAGAAAAGGGATTTAGCATTAACATCAGCATTGTAAAAACAATATGAACATTAGTGATTATTGACAATCCAGTACAGGGGTGGACTGACCATTCGAGCACTCGGGCACTGCTCGAGGGCCCAAGGTCAGTAGGGGGCCCCATGAAATGCCCTTTTACCTTTTTTATAGGCTTTTTGGGTGTGCTTTGAGTGTGGCCAAGGACACAGGGGCCCCATGATCCCCTATTGCCTGGGGGCCCCATGAGTTGTCAGTCCACCCCTGATCCAGTATAAGCTCACATGAAAAATCTCCTTTTATGCTGTGAATGCTGCCTGTCTGCTGGCCATCTCTTACCACAACTTTCTGCATTTAATGCCTAAATTAATGCATAATTTTTTATATTTTGTCTCATGCTGCATGTTTGTTTTGCTTAATTCAGTAATACTGTATATATACACTCACTGGTCACTATATTAGGTAAACCTGTTTAATTGCTTAGTAAAAAAAATGCTAATCAGCCAATCAAATGGCAGCAACTCAATGCATTTAGGCATCTAGGATGGGAAAGAAAGGGGATTTAAGTGACTTTGAATGAAAACATCTCCTACAAGCTTTAACCAGTGCTCTGCTGGACACTGACAGAAGTCACAAGACTGCTCTAACTGCTGATGAAAAAAGGGATTTAGCTTTAATATCAGCATTGTAAAAACAATATAAACATTAGTGCTTATTGACAATCCAATATAAGATCACTTGAAAAATCTCCTTTTATGCTGTGAGTGCTGCATGTCTGCTAGCCATCTCTTACCACAACTTTCTGCATTCCCTGCTCAATTTCTCATGATTTCATATCCCATTGGTAGTGATTCCTGTACTGACCATGCCTCTTGAATCTCTTTCTCCTAGCACCTCTGTAGTTTAGAAGGCAGGCTCTTTTAAATGTGTTATCCCAACCCTAATGTCCCTGATGATGTCATATGGGGCAACCCGTGTAAGGCGGAACTGGAAGTCGTTATGTCACCACGTATGCATGTGACCGCTGTGGAATTCTGGATGTTGTAGTTTGTAGAGATGAGTATTCAAAAATTCGATTCGACTGATTCGGCGAATTCGTGGAAAAATTTTGATTCGAGTCGAATATATTCGCTGCGAATTTAACTTATAAAAGGGTGTTTCTAGGCTTCAGAGAGCATTTATATTAGTGCAGAACACTGTACCTTTAATTTAAATGCCCTTGGAGTCTGCTGGGGAAGAGAAATAATACTGACAGTCAGTATGACATGCAGATGAGTGCCGTCGATCTTAGAATCACCGCACACTTCACTCATTTGGGCAGTCACGGGGCCAAAACCAGAGTGTGGAGCCACAGTGTGGCGGTGGAGGCAGCAGCAATGGGAGGCCATACAGCACCCTATGACAAAAATGGAAACCACCAGCAGTGTGAGGAGACCTGAAAGTGGCACATGGCAGAGTGTGGCGATAGGGGCGCATGACAGATTACGAGCCTGGCAGCAGCAACTTGGACAGGAGGACGTTCAGCTTCTGCACCGAAGGGTGCGTGCTCGCAAACTGTTGTCTCTTGGAAACAGATTCCAAGAAAGACTGGTGACGGAATCCGTGAAGAGGAGTAGCAGGAGAAGGAGCATCTGAACGAGCGGAATATGCCAACAAGCGACAACAGGGGCCCATGACAGATTACGGGCCTGGCAGCAGCATGAGGAGTCGGTACGGGGGCCCATGGCAGATTACGGGCCTGGCAGCAGCAATGGGAGGCCCGTAATCTGCCAGCACCCTATGACAAAAAATGGAACACACCAGCAGTGTGTGAGGAGACCTGAAAGTGGCACATGGCAGAGGTGGCGATGGAGACAGCAGCAATGGGAGGCCGTACAGGGACCCATGAGAGACTCTGGACCTGGCAGCAGCATGAGGAGGCGGTACAGGGGCCCATGGCAGATTAGGGGCCTGGCAGCAGCAATGGGAGGCCCGTAATCTGCCAGCACCCTATGACAAAAAATGGAACACACCAGCAGTGTGAGGAGACCTGAAAGTGGCACATGGCAGAGTGTGGCGATGGAGACAGCAGCAATGGGAGGCCGTACAGGGACCCATGAGAGACTGTGGACCTGGCAGCAGCATGAGGAGGCGGTACTGGGGCCCATGGCAGATTAGGGGCCTGGCAGCAGCAATGGGAGGCCCGTAATCTGCCAGCACCCTATGACAAAAAATGTAACACACCAGCAGTGTGAGGAGACCTGAAAGTGGCACATGGCAGAGTGTGGCGATGGAGACAGCAGCAATGGGAGGCGGTTCAGGGACCCATGAGACACTGTGGACCTGGCAGCAGCATGAGGAGCGGTACGGTACAGGGGCCCATGGCAGATTAAGGCCTGGCAGCAGCAATGGGAGGCCCGTAATCTGCCAGCACCCTATGACAAAATGGAACCCTGGGCTGGGGCAGGCAGAACCGCCGTATCTTTATCACGTTTTTCCCAGGCCACCGAATGGCGACGCTGCATATGCTGACGCAACGCTGTAGTCCCAACATGGGCCCCCTGGCCCCCTGGCCACGCTTGACTTTCTGGCCACATAGTCGACATACGGCTACGTTTACTTCCTCGGGCGGCTTGACGAAAAATTGCCACACCGCCGAGTAGGAAACTTTGCCCCCGCTACTCCTCACTGGCTGACTGCTACTTCCTCCGTGCACACCGGCACCACTACTGGCCGTGGTGGTAGGCTGCAGTGGAGCTGGTGCTCTACTCCGTGGCCGTTTGCCTCCACTGACACTGCTGCGACCCTGCTGCCTCCTGGCAGCAGCAATGGGAGGCCGTACAGGGACCCATGACACACTCTGGACCTGGCAGCAGCATGAAGAGGCGGTACAGGGGCCCATGGCAGATTAGGGGCCTGGCAGCAGCAATGGGAGGCCCGTAATCTGCCAGCACCCTATGACAAAAAATGGAACACACCAGCAGTGTGAGGAGACCTGAAAGTGGCACATGGCATGAGAGGCGGTACAGGGGCCATGGCACTGTGGCCTGGGAGGCCCAGCAGCAAAAAATGGAGGAGGCGGTACAGGGGCCCATGGCAGATTAGGGGCCTGGCAGCAGCTATGGGAGGCCCGTAATCTGCCAGCACCCTATGACAAAAAATGGAACACACCAGCAGTGTGTGAGGAGACCTGAAAGTGGCACATGGCAAAGTGTGGCGATGGAGACAGCAGCAATGGGAGGCCGTACAGGGACCCATGAGATGGACTCTGGACCTGGCAGCAGCATGAGGAGGCGGTACAGGGGCCCATGGCAGATTAGGGGCCTGGCAGCAGCTATGGGAGGCCCGTAATCTGCCAGCACCCTATGACAAAAAATGGAACACACCAGCAGTGTGTGAGGAGACCTGAAAGTGGCACATGGCAGATGGCAGAGTGTGGCGATGGAGACAGCAGCAATGGGAGGCCGTACAGGGACCCATGAGAGACTCTGGACTTGGCAGCAGCATGAGGAGGCGGTACAGGGGCCCATGGCAGATTAGGGGCCTGGCAGCAGCTATGGGAGGCCCGTAATCTGCCAGCACCCTATGACAAAAAATGGAACACACCAGCAGTGTGAGGAGACCTGAAAGTGGCACATGTTTGGGGCATGATTCATGGCGGCGGAGTCAGTTGTGTCAGGAACTGGTGGTTTGAAATCCAGACTAATCCACGCCTGATTCATTTTCACAAACGTGAGTCTCTCCACACTTTGGGGTGGACAGTCGTGTCCTCCGCGGAGTTACAATACCTCCTGCCGCACTAAACACGCGCTCCGATGCCACGCTACTGGCCGGGCATGACAGCCTTTCAAGGGCAAATTCAGCTAGTTGGGGCCAAAGGTCAAGTTTCGTTGCCCAGTAGTCAAGGGGATTGTCTACCTCGGTTGGCAGGGTGCTGTCCAAGTAGGCCTAAGCCTGTTGTTTGAGGTCCTGCTCCAGGTCCACCTGATGCTGCTGCTGCTGCTGCGGCTGGTTAGTAGTTTCCTCACTGCGCTGGTGAAGAAAGCTACTCATCATCGACTGCAGACTGAGGCAGCCGCTGCTGGTGGAGCTGCCACTGCTCCTACCACCCCACCCCTCCCCCCTGCTGCCATGGCAGCGGAACGCGAGCGCACAGGGCCCACAGTGTCTGAGGATGGACGTTGGCGCAGAAAGGCAGAGACCAGCTGACTACATAGGTGGTTTTTATAGTACGTTATTTTGGCCTCCCTCTCAGCAGGTGTGAAAAAGGCCACCATTTTTGAACGGTAGCGAGGGTCCAACAAGGTGGACAGCCAAAAAAGTCATCCCTCTGTCTGATGGTTATTATTCGGCTGTCGCTACGCAAGCAAGCGAGCATGCTATGGGCCATTTGTGCCAAGGAATGCGAGGGACTCCCTGCCTCCATCTCCACACAGCAAAGCATACTGCCACGGTGCGTCTGGGTCCTCTGTCTCCTCCTCCTCCTCCTCTACCAGATGCTCCTGCTCCTCCACTCCTGTCCGCTGAGTGGAAAAACCACCCATTTCACTCAATAATTCCTGAGCACCAATGTCCTCCTCTACCTCCTCCTCTTCTTCCTGTCCTGCCCCCACAGGGGTCATGTGGCGTTGAGATCTGTGCGCCACGTCTACCGCACCCTGACCAGCCATTGTTAACAGCATTTGTTCCAGGACGTGCAACAGAGGAATGACGTCGTTCATCCCATAGTCCTGCCGACTCACGAATAGCGTGGCCTCCTCAAAGGGCCTGAGCAAGCGCAGGTGTCACGCATGAGCTGCCAATGGCTGACATCTAAGTTACACAGGGAGTACCTTTATCCGCTTGTAACATCAGGAAATCTGTGATGGCCTTTCGCTGTTCGTAAAGGCGGTCTAACATATGTAGGGTTGAATTCCACCTTGTTGCAACGTCACAGCAAGGAGTCGGTACGGGGGCCCATGGCAGATTACGGGCCTGGCAGCAGCAATGGGAGGCCCGTAATCTGCCAGCACCCTATGACAAAAAATGTAACACACCAGCAGTGTGAGGAGATCTGAAAGTGGCACATGGCAGAGTGTGGCGATGGAGACAGCAGCAATGGGAGGCCGTACAGGGACCCATGAGAGACTCTGGACCTGGCAGCAGCATGAGGAGGCGGTATAGGGGCCCATGGCAGATTAGGGGCCTGGCAGCAGCTATGGGAGGCCCGTAATCTGCCAGCACCCTATGACAAAAAATGGAACACACCAGCAGTGTGAGGAGACCTGAAAGTGGCACATGGCAGAGTGTGGCGATGGAGACAGCAGCAATGGGAGGCCGTACAGGGACCCATGAGAGACTCTGGACCTGGCAGCAGCATGAGGAGGCGGTATAGGGGCCCATGGCAGATTAGGGGCCTGGCAGCAGCTATGGGAGGCCCGTAATCTGCCAGCACCCTATGACAAAAAATGGAACACACCAGCAGTGTGTGTGAGGAGACCTGAAAGTGGCACATGGCAGAGTGTGGCGATGGAGACAGCAGCAATGGGAGGCCGTACAGGGACCCATGAGAGACTCTGGACCTGGCAGCAGCATGAGGAGGCGGTACAGGGGCCCATGGCAGATTAGGGGCCTGGCAGCAGCTATGGGAGGCCCGTAATCTGCCAGCACCCTATGACAAAAAATGGAACACACCAGCAGTGTGTGAGGAGACCTGAAAGTGGCACATGGCAGAGTGTGGCGATGGAGACAGCAGCAATGGGAGGCCGTACAGGGACCCATGAGAGACTCTGGACCTGGCAGCAGCATGAGGAGGCGGTACAGGGGCCCATGGCAGATTAGGGGCCTGGCAGCAGCTATGGGAGGCCCGTAATCTGCCAGCACCCTATGACAAAAAATGGAACACACCAGCAGTGTGTGAGGAGACCTGAAAGTGGCACATGGCAGAGTGTGGCGATGGAGACAGCAGCAATGGGAGGCCGTACAGGGACCCATGAGAGACTCTGGACCTGGCAGCAGCATGAGGAGGCGGTATAGGGGCCCATGGCAGATTAGGGGCCTGGCAGCAGCTATGGGAGGCCCGTAATCTGCCAGCACCCTATGACAAAAAATGGAACACACCAGCAGTGTGTGAGGAGACCTGAAAGTGGCACATGGCAGAGTGTGGCGATGGAGACAGCAGCAATGGGAGGCCGTACAGGGACCCATGAGAGACTCTGGACTGGCAGCAGCATGAGGAGGCGGTATAGGGGCCCATGGCAGATTAGGGGCCTGGCAGCAGCTATGGGAGGCCCGTAATCTGCCAGCACCCTATGACAAAAAATGGAACACACCAGCAGTGTGAGGAGACCTGAAAGTGGCACAGTGGCACATGTTTGGGGCATGATTCATGGCGGATTTAGTCAGTTGTGTCAGGGAACTGGTGGTTTGAAATCCAGACTAATCATCCACGCCTGCCAGCATTCATTTTGACAAAAACGTGAGTCTCTCCACACTTTGGGTGGACAGTGTGCACATCCGCAGAGTTACAATACCTCCTGCCGCACTAAACACGCGCTCCGATCCATGCCAGCTACTGGCCTGGGGCATGACAGCCTTTCAAGGGCAAATTCAGCTAGTTAGGGGCCCAAAGCAGTCAAGTTTCGTTGCCCCAGTAGTCAAGGGGATTGTCTACCTCGGTTGGCAGGGTGCTGTCCAAGTAGGCCAAGCCTGTTGTTTGAGGTCCTGCTCCAGGTCCACCTGATGCTGCTGCTGCTGCGGCTGGTTAGTAGTTTCCTCACTGCGCTGGTGAAGAAAGCTACTCATCATCGACTGCAGATGAGAGGCAGCCGCTGCTGGTGGAGCCTGCCACTGCTCCTACCACCCCACCCCTCCCCTGCTGCCATGGCAGCGGAACGCGAGCGCACAGGGCCCACAGTGTCTGAGGATGGACGTTGGCAGCAGAAAGGCAGAGACCAGCTGACTACATAGGTGGTTTTTTTATAGTACGTTATTTTGGCCTCCCTCTCAGCAGGTGTGAAAAAGGCCACCATTTTTGAACGGTAGCGAGGGGTCCAACAAGGTGGACAGCCAAAAAAGTCATCCCTCTGTCTGATGGTTATTATTCGGCTGTCGCTACGCAAGTGTGGCGAGCATGCTATGGGCCATTTGTGCCAAGGAATGCGACCTGGGACTCCCTGCCTCCATCTCCACAGCATACTGCCACGGTGCGTCTGGGTCCTCTGTCTCCTCTCCTCCTCCTCTACCAGATGCTCCTGCAAAAAATCCTGTCCGCTGAGTGTGAAAAACCACCCATTTCACTCAATAATTCCTGAGCACCAATGTCCTCCTCTACCTCCTCCTCTTCTTCCTGTCCTGCCCCCACAGGGGTCATGTGGCGTTGAGATCTGTGCGCCACGTCTACCGCACCCTGACCAGCCATTGTTAACAGCATTTGTTCCAGGACAGAGGAATGACGTCGTTCATCCCATAGTCCTGCCGACTCACGAATAGCGTGGCCTCCTCAAAGGGCAGCTGAGCAAGCGGCAGGTGTCACGCATGAGCTGCCAATGGCTGACATCGAAGTTACACAGGGAGAGTACCTTTATCCGCTTGTAACATCAGGAAATCGGTGATGGCCACCAGCGTGTGAGGAGACCTGTAAAGGTGGTCTAACATGGTAGTAGGGTTGAATTCCAGCTTTGTTGCAACGTCGCAGATCAGGCGATGCATGTGGAATTCCGTTGGCCGCTGGCAGCAGCTCAGGAGGAATCTGGGTGCCCATGCTTTGGGGTGCAGAATGGGAGGCTGAAATGCATGCAAAGTTTACGTGACAAAAAGGATGTCTTGCAGTGGGATGGTGGATTTTAGGACCCATGACAACCAGATTGAACACAGCAGCAATGAGGAGCCATGCATGGCCATGGCACAACCTTCCTTGACGCAGAGCAGACACCATGAACACACCAGCATAGGGGCCGTTGTCGGTCAACATGGTTCCGATTTTCATTTTGCGCGGAGACAGCCATCTGTCACATGGCAGAGTGTCATGGAGACACTGCAATGGGAGTTCCCGTACTGTGGACCCATGAGAGACCTGGACCTGGCAGCAGCATGAGGAGGCGGTACAGGGGCCCATGGCAGATTAGGGGCCTGGCAGCAGCTATGGGAGGCCCGTAATCTGCCAGCACCCTATGACAAAAAATGAACACACCAGCAGTGTGAGGAGACCTGAAAGTGGCACATGGCATGAGTGTGGCGATGGGCAGCAGCATGAGGAGGCCATGTACAGGGGACCCCATGGCAGATTAGGGGGCCTGGCAGCAGCTATGAGGAGGCCCGTAATCTGCCAGCCCTATGACAAAAAAGGGGAACACACCAGCAGTGTGGAGGAGACCTGAAAGTGGCACACCCAGAGTGTGGCGATGGAGACACAGCAGCAGTGTGAGGAGCCGTACAGTGGCACACAGAGTGTGGCATGAGATGGGACTACAGGGACCCATGGACCTGGCAGCAGCATGAGGAGGCGGTATAGGGCCCATGGCAGATTAGGGGCCTGGCAGCAGCTATGGGAGGCCCGTAATCTGCCAGCACCCTATGACAAAAAATGGAACACACCAGCAGTGTGAGGAGACCTGAAAGTGGCACATGGCAGAGTGTGGCGATGGAGACAGCAGCAATGGGAGGCCGTACAGGGACCCATGAGAGACTCTGGACCTGGCAGCAGCATGAGGAGGCGGTATAGGGGCCCATGGCAGATTAGGGGCCTGGCAGCAGCTATGGGAGGCCCGTAATCTGCCAGCACCCTATGACAAAAAATTGAACACACCAGCAGTGTGTGAGGAGACCTGAAAGTGGCACATGGCAGAGTGTGGCGATGGAGACAGCAGCAATGGGAGGCCGTACAGGGACCCATGAGAGACTCTGGACCTGGCAGCAGCATGAGGAGGCGGTAATCTGGGCCCATGGCAGATTAGGGGCCTGGCAGCAGCTATGGGAGGCCCGTAATCTGCCAGCACCCTATGACAAAAAATGGAACACACCAGCAGTGTGAGGAGACCTGAAAGTGGCACATGGCATGAGACACTGTGGACCTGGCAGCAGCATGAGGAGGCGGTACAGGGGCCCATGGCAGATTAGGGGCCTGGCAGCAGCTATGGGAGGCCCGTAATCTGCCAGCACCCTATGACAAAAAATGGAACACACCAGCAGTGTGTGAGGAGACCTGAAAGTGGCACATGGCAGAGTGTGGCATGGAGACAGCACTGTACAGGGACCATGGCTGGACCTGGCAGCATGAGGAGGCGGTACAGGGGCCCATGGCAGATTAGGGGCCTGGCAGCAGCTATGGGAGGCCCGTAATCTGCCAGCACCCTATGACAAAAAATTGAACACACCAGCAGTGTGTGAGGAGACCTGAAAGTGGCACATGGCAGAGTGTGGCGATGGAGACAGCAGCAATGGGAGGCCGTACAGGGACCCATGAGAGACACTGTGGACCTGGCAGCAGCATGAGGAGGCGGTACAGGGGCCCATGGCAGATTAGGGGCCTGGCAGCAGCTATGGGAGGCCCGTAATCTGCCAGCACCCTATGTCAAAAAATTGAACACACCAGCAGTGTGAGGAGACCTGAAAGTGGCACATGGCAGAGTGTGGCGATGGAGACAGCAGCAATGGGAGGCCGTACAGGGACCCATGAGACACTCTGGACCTGGCAGCAGCATGAGGAGGCGGTACAGGGGCCCATGGCAGATTAGGGGCCTGGCAGCAGCTATGGGAGGCCCGTAATCTGCCAGCACCCTATGACAAAAAATGGAACACACCAGCAGTGTGTGAGGAGACCTGAAAGTGGCATGGCATGGCATGGACACTGTGGACCTGGGCAGCAGCATGAGGAGGCGGTACAGGGGCCCATGGCAGATTAGGGGCCTGGCAGCAGCTATGGGAGGCCCGTAATCTGCCAGCACCCTATGACAAAAAATGGAACACACCAGCAGTGTGAGGAGACCTGAAAGTGGCACATGGCAGAGTGTGGCGATGGAGACAGCAGCAATGGAGGCCGTACAGGGACCCATGAGACACTGTGGACCTGGCAGCAGCATGAGGAGGCGGTACAGGGGCCCATGGCAGATTAGGGGCCTGGCAGCAGCTATGGGAGGCCCGTAATCTGCCAGCACCCTATGACAAAAAATGGAACACACCAGCAGTGTGAGGAGACCTGAAAGTGGCACATGGCATGGAGACACTGTGGAGGCCGTACAGGGCCCCTGAGCATGGACCTGGCAGCAGCATGAGGAGGCGGTACAGGGGCCCATGGCAGATTAGGGGCCTGGCAGCAGCTATGGGAGGCCCGTAATCTGCCAGCACCCTATGACAAAAAATGGAACACACCAGCAGTGTGAGGAGACCTGAAAGTGGCACATGGCAGAGTGTGGCGATGGAGACAGCAGGAATGGGAGGCCGTACAGGGACCCATGAGAGACACTGTGGACCTGGCAGCAGCATGAGGAGGCGGTACAGGGGCCCATGGCAGATTAGGGGCCTGGCAGCAGCTATGGGAGGCCCGTAATCTGCCAGCACCCTATGACAAAAAATTGAACACACCAGCAGTGTGAGGAGA